CAGTCTGGTTAACAGTTCCTACATCTTCCTCTTCCGCCTCTGCCCAGTCCCCATAACAAACAAAACTCATGGGGACCCAGGTTGGACAAAGCTTGGCTTTGAGTAACACGGATATTGTATTATGGGCTCACTACTGCGACAAAATCATTTTAAGGAAGGAAAATTGATTTTAGCTTACAGTTCCAGGAGAGATAGTCCATCCTGGCAGAGCAGGCATGATGGCAGGAGCAGTAGGCATCCACAGTCAGAAAGCCAAGTGGTGACTCAACTTTTTCCTTTTATTCAATTGAGAAACCCAGCCCATGTTTTAGTATAGTACCACTCAATTTAAGATGGGGACTTCCTCTTCCATTAACCTGATATAGATAATCCCTCACAGGCATGCTCAGGGATTAGGTTAATATCTAACCTAATCTAGATATTACATCACAAGCATACCCAGGGGCTAACCTACGCTCCTCACAGGCATGCTCAGAGCCTAACCTAAAGTAAATATTATATCATTGGCATCCCCAGAAGCTAATCTAAATTAGATATTATATCACATGCATGCCCAGTGACTTGTCTCCTCAGTGATCGTAGATGAGGTCAGATTCACAATAAGAATTGTGACAAGTTTACCCCCTGTTAACCTGGCACCTGGATGCATCATTTTTAACACGTAACCTTCCTCCCCTTTGTTCCCATAGGCCCACAGACATCTCAGTGCAAAATGCACTCAGCTCAACTTTAAAAGTCCCCAGGCTTTAACAGTATCAACACTATTTAAAAGTCCACAATCTTTTCTGAGACTCAAGGCAACCTCTTAACCATGTACTCCTATAAAATAGAAAATGAGTCTAGTACTTCTAGTATTTGATGGCACAGAATGAACACTCCTATTCCACAGGGTAGAATGGAGTGACAACAAGGAAAGATTGGTCCAGAGCAAGACCAAAACTCAGCAGGGAAAACACTAAACCCTGGAGCCCATATTTGGCACCTGGGAATCAAGACAGGATCATCTGGGCGCTAAAGGGTTTAGGCAGCCCTGCCTCTCCAGCTTCACTGCCTGCAGCACACACAGCATCTCTGCTGAGTCAGGTCCACCACATGCATGCAGATTTCCTTGGTAAACACCTTGTCATTGTGGCACGTCCTATATCCTGGAAGCTCCGTTGCAGCTTAGGCTTCCCCCACAGAGCTTCAGGCTAGTTTCTTAGGGCCTCCTTGCAGGAATTCTGACCCTGCTGTACATTGCTCTGACTGGACATACAGGCCTCAATAGTCCTCTGGAAGCATGGTAGAAGTCTCAATTTTAGATCTTTTTTGCCTGCAAATACTCTTCCACATAGTGGAATGCTGTGTAACAATTTCTCTGTGATGCAAACACTCTGTGCTGCAGGGAAGCTCAGTCAGAAAAGAAGCAACCAACTCAAAATAGCTTCAGGAAGTCCCTGGACCTCACCAGATTCACTAGGGCTCTCCCTTTCCAGGAATAACTGTCATAGTTACTGTTCTGTTTCTGTGAAGAGAAACCATGACTGATGCAACTCATAAAAGAAAACACTGAATTGGGGGCTTGCCTACAGTTTTAGAGGGTTAGTTCATGGTCATCATGGAAGGAAGTAGTCAAGCATGGCACTGGAGCAGTACCTGAGAGCTTTACATCCTGATCCAGGGAGCAGGCAGAGAGAAGGAGAGACACTGGACCTGGTGGGGGCTTTTAAAACATCAAAGCTCACCCCCAGTGACTCACTTCCTCCGATAAGGCCACACCTTCTAATCCTTCTCAAACAGTTCCATTCTCTGGTGACTAAACATTCAAATATATGAGCCTATGTGACATTCTCACTCCAATCACCATAGTACATAAGCAGTAGACCCTTAGAGTCACTCTTAGACAAGACAAGCAGCCTGGAAGAACTAGAGATCAGCTGAGCCCATGAGGAAGGACAATCTCCAACCTGTTTATCTGCCCTAAGGCTGTGCAGTGTGCTCCAGGTTTCCAGCTTTTGTGAGCTGCTACCAAAGCTGGGCAGGCTTTGATGATGTAGCCACTTCTGCTCCTGTACGTAACCCTAATAAAACTCATTGGTTCATCAAGTTGGACTTTGGTAATACCCTTTCTTTGGTTTGTCATGGGCTATATATCTGTAGTGAGTAGTTGTGTGTGTGGTGTGTGTGTGTGTGTGTGTGTGTGTGTGTTGTGTCTTCTCAGGAAAAGTCTATCACACAACAGTTTCTGTGATAAAATACCCTGACAAAGGCAACTTAAGGTGGAAATGGTATATTTTAGCTTATACTTCAAGGAAATACAGTTCAGAATCAGGGACCGTATGGCGGCCGGAGTAGGAGGTGGCTGGTCACATTGCCTCCAGATGCAGTCTGCTCGGTGCCCAGTTTATTTATTTTTTTATTCAGCCCAGGATCTCAGCCCAGGATCCCAGCCCATGGAATGCCATGTCCACATCTAACGTGGGTCTTCTCACCTCCACTAGCCTAGCCTAGATCATCCTTGACAGGTACCTCAAGAGGCTTGTCTCTCAGTGACTCCAGATCTTGTCAAAGTCACAGTATTAGCTGTTATAGATTCTGAGTTCAAAGGCTACTCCAGCTTGCGGGACACAGAGTCCTTCAACAGCAAGTGGGGGGGGGGGGTCACTGGAGGCTGAGAAATCAGTTTACCTCAAAGGCATTCTGGGAAAGTAGGACTGCCAACTAGCTGGGTCAACCTGCTCATCTTCCCTTTCTGAGGAATGAGCAGCTGAAAAGCCTAGAAATCTAATGGAGTCTGTATAGTTTTAATTTTGCGTGATTCTGGTTTTCTTCAGGTTTTTGGATGTCTGTCTTAAGCAGCTATAGAATTTCTATTTTGAGTGGCCATTCTTCCCTCGCTGCAAGTGTCTAGGGAGGAATCGGTGGTCCGAATGAAAGAGGCAGGGAAAGGACCCACAGGTAGCTGTGGGTGCCGAGAAGAAACCATGGAAAAACATGCTCACCTCAACCCCAAGCCTAGTGGCTAGCAGGCGCTGAAAACGGCCATGGGACCGGGACATCCCCAAAGCCAAGAAAGAGACCTGGTTTTGTACCTTCTCTCCCCCCCCCCCCCCCCCCGCCCCCCGGGCGTTGGTGTTTTTTTTTTTTTTTTTAAAGAACAGGTCTGCTCGGCAGGGTCCAGCAGTGGCCCCTGCCACTCACCCTCTTTGTTGACTTGGTAGCCCTATCACTGCTCTGTGTCTCCTGTCACTTCCAAGCATCAGGCTAAAGCTTCCTGTAGTTTAGCCTCAGTTTCTGCTTTAGGCCGTCTCTCTCTGCAGCCAGAGCTCTGTAAGTCTGATAGTCGGGCCCAGAGCTTTCGGCTGAGGACATGGCACCATCCATAACATGGCGGCCTCAGCCCAGGAAGACAGGGTCTGCTCCACTCGGCATACGGAGGGTGTGCAGAGAAGTCATGGTATGGTGGGCATGTGGGGTCCATGTCCCGAAGAGGCCGAAGGCTGGTGGGTGGGCGTGTGGGGCTCGTGTCCCGAAGAGTCCGGAGGCTGGCAGGATCCTGGTGCGGCTCAAGAGGTCTCAGCCCCGGGGCTGGAGAGATGGCTCAGAAGAGCGTTGCCTGCTCTTCCAAAGGTCCTGAGTTTAATTCCCAGCAAGCACACAACCATCTGTAATGAGGTCTGGTGCCCTCTTCTGGCCTGTAGGCACACAGACAGAATATTGTATACATGATAAATAATTTTTTTTTTTTTTTTTTTTAAAAAAGAGGTCTCAGCCCTCATGCGGAAAGACTGATCTTTTTTGAAGTGCCAAGATGCTGGCAGGGTCCTGGGACACAGAATGAGTATGATGGGGCCTGTCTTGTCCAGGAAGGGACACTGAGACTTGATCACACAAATCTCAGCACAAGGTAACTGAATAGACTCCCAGAGGGCCTGCTGGGGCCGGGGAAATGGCTCAGGGCTTAAGACCTTGTATTGGTTCTGCAGAGGACTTGAGTCCGTCTCCCAGCACCCATGGCAGGGACAGGCACCTACACTCGTGTGAACATACCCCTATGCAGACAAATGGACACTTAACACATAATTAAAATAAAATATATCTTTAAAAATGAAATATGCCACCATGCTATGAATGGCCACATGACTAGGACGTGATGGTCTGAGAGCCATCCAGAACTGATTTTTTTTTTTTATTAAAAGCACCTTTGATCTAATAAGGAAGAAGATACCAAGGCTCTCGGACAGGCAGAAGGAAGGGACGGTCCTTGAAGTAAAGATGCCAATGGGGGAGGGGAGGGGGCTGGAAGGATGGCTCAGCAGTTAAGAGCATTGCGTGCTCTTCCAAAGGACCCGAGTTCAATTCCCAGCAACCACATGGTGGCTCACAACCATCTGTAATGAGGTCTGGTGCCCTCTCCTAGCAGGCATATATGCAAACAGAATATTGTATCCATAATAAATAAATAAATATTAAAAAAAAAAGATGCCAATGGGGGAGAATAAACTCAGAAAAGTAATTTGGAGTCAGATCTCAGAGAGCTAGGTCACAGGCCTGAGGATTTGCTCTGTTCATGGGTCCCTGGCAGCCACATCCAGTAATGAAGCAAAGGGCTCCGCCATCGGGGGTGGGGGGGGGTCTCTCTGGAGGGTGGCTGCCTTGTGAGGGCTGGAACTGGGATTCAGGCCCAGTCTAGGGGCAATGTGGGTGGTAAGGACAAAAGCCTTGAGCCCTAGATGTGGAGCTGCCAGCTGTTCTAAATGCAGCTCATGCCACCTCCATCCCGCCCCCCCCAACCAAGGAGGCCAGCGGCCACTTGTTCCCACAGCGTCTGCTTTCCCGAGGGCCTCCAGACTCCAGAGTATCAGAAGCAAAGCCCCAACACTGTTTATTGTCCCAACTGGGTCCTCTGTTGCTCCACCACCCCCCAGTTCCCGGATCTGCTGTGTGCCTCCGCTGCCCTGGCCCCACGCTGCAGGTCATTCACCCTGCCAGGAAAACACTGGGCTGGCGTATATAAGGAAAGCAGGCCAGGCCTGTGTGCTTAGCAATGGTGACTATGTGGTGGCCCTGCCTTGTCTTGGCCCTGCTCTCTGGCTCAGAGACCTCTGGCTTTCCAAGAAGCCCCCTCAAGCTGCTAGAGGTGAGTCTAGCTTTCCATTTGATAGCAGAATTTTGAGGGTCAAATAGGCAAAAAAAAAAAAAAAAAAAAAAAAAGCTCATCCAAGCCCCTAAGCTGGGGGTGCAGGGAGGAGGCTGAGGACTGGACACTGTATTACTGGGACAACTCTGAACTCTGGAGAATGGAGCTACAGATTTGACTGATAAACTAGCTTGCTGTTTAACCCAGAGCAGGGCTATTCAAACTCCTGGGCCTCACTTGTGAAAGGCTAGGCCCGTGGTGTAGAGACCTTGACAAAATGCTGAGCTGAGCCTGATGTGTGGCTAGGTGCTCTGGGAAGCTAACTAGAGAGACAAGACCAGGGCCAGGGGGAGCAGAATGGAAGGCTGAGTGAGTTGGGAGAGTACAAAGCATGAGACGGTGTAGGGTCAGATCTAGCGCCTCTCCGTAAGGGACCTGGTGACATACCCCTTTCTCAGTCTGTTCCTAGTCTCTTTCTAACACATGGCCTGAAAGGTCCCGTGTCTCTGAGACCTGGCCCTAGCCCGGAACCTGCTCCCAGGCCATTGGTAACCTCATGCTTGTCCTGATCTCTCTGTTTGTCTTTACATTTACAGAAGCGGAGCCTCCCAGAAGGGGTAAGAAATTCCGGCAAATACAGACAGGGTGGGAGGGGCAGAACGGAGCGTTGCTTACTTGCTGAAGGTACAGATCGAAATGGCAGCAACCCCCAGAGCCAGAAAACAGCCTATGGCCCCAGCCCAGTAGAGCCTCGTGTAACACAAGACCCATACAGAAAGGCAGGACCCTTCAAGAGGAATCTAGGTCAGGGCAAAGGGAGCCCTGGGAAGGCTTTCCTTGGGGCGGGGCCTGCTCGGAGCTGGGCTTTTCTAAACTCTCCCTGGCTGCAGCTGGGTGCAGATTACAGCATCAAGGAGGCGGGGCATGAACATTGTGGTCCCCAGCTGGATGTGGGACAAAGGATACTGCCCAGACTTCCAGTGTGGAGAACTGGAAGAACTAAGGGACCCCAGGACTTCAGAGCCCACCCTGGAGCGTTTGGAAGGGAAATAGCAGGGCTGGCGGCTGGGTTTTCCAGAGTGCAGACTGGCGGGTCACTACCAGCCATCTTTGCCCACCTGTCCCACAGGTGGTCGATGGCATTGAGGTCTACAGCACCAAGATTAGCTGCAAGGTGACCTCCCGCTTTGCTCACAATGTTGTCACCACGAGGGCTGTCAACCGTGCAGACAAGGCCAAGGAGGTTTCCTTTGATGTGGAACTGCCCAAGACAGCCTTTATCACCAACTTCACCTTGTGGGTACCGCCATAGCTGCTGGCTCTACCTCCTGAGGGGTATTTGGCCCAGTGTGACAGCCCTTCCCCTAAACTCTTTATCTGTAGGACCATTGATGGTGTCACCTACCCTGGGAACATCAAGGAGAAGGAAGTTGCCAAGAAGCAATATGAAAAGGCTGTGTCCCAGGGCAAGACAGCTGGTTTGGTCAAGTACGTGTAGACCTTGGGCCTTGATAGAAGCAAATAGCTGTGATTACCGCGATAGCAAACTGCGTGTGTCCTCAGAAGATCCCATTTTAAAGCAGACGAGGTTTAGAATAGATAGCTCTCTAACCCAAGAGCTGAGACTTGAACCCAGGGCAGAGGAATGATGGGTTCCTGAAGTCTTTGAGCTAAGCACCATCTTGTACACTACCCAGGGCCTCTGGGAGAAAACTGGAGAAATTCACAGTGTCTGTCAACGTGGCTGCTGGCAGCAAGGTCACCTTTGAGCTAACCTATGAAGAACTGCTTAAGAGGCACAAGGGCAAGTACGAGATGTACATTAAGGTCCAGCCCAAACAACTGGTCAGACACTTTGAGGTAATCAGTCATTTCTGATTCATCCTTCATCCCTGCCTGGAACCACAGAGAGCCTGGGGAAGGGCAATGCGCCGGTGGGGGTGGGAGGAGGAGGGGCAAATCTTAGAGCAGAGCCAAGGATGCATCTCTAAGTCCTGGTTCCTGTACTTGGCCAACAGGTTTGGGATGGCTTTTCTTCCACAGCCACTGGGAACTGAGGGGAGGAGGCTTTAGTGCTGGGGCTCTTGAGGACTGTGCGGCAAGTGCTTCTGGAATACTTGCAACCGGTCCACGTTCCCTCCATCAAGGCTAAAAGGAAAAGCAAACACCATGGCTGTGCCCCAGACTTCTGTGTCGCCCCAGTATGACATCTCCTTCATTTGGCCATTTCAGATTGATGCGCACATCTTTGAGCCTCAGGGCATCAGCATGCTGGATGCTGAGGCCTCATTCATCACCAATGACCTTCTGGGAAGTGCCCTCACCAAGTCCTTCTCAGGGAAAAAGGTGGGCTAGGGGTGCAGGGGGTAGGACCTAGGCCTTGACTTTGCTGATTTCAGCATGGCAGGGGTATCTGTGATCTGTCCCAGTCAACTGGGTCATCAGGGAGGATACTGGAGGCAGGGGGCTGATGCTGAGCTGCTACAAGATTTGGAGTCTCAGATCTACCAGAAAGAACAAAGAGGGAAGGAAGCCATTTATAAATGACAAATGGACAGGAGAGGGGATGCAGACCAAGAACCTGGGGCGAGTTTTGCTGACTCCACATTAAGGGATGGCGCACTAAGGAGAACGCCCTTCTTGCTGCTGGGCATTGGCTCCAGTCACAGAGCCCTGCCCAGCTCTTCCAGGGCAGGATCCCAGTGCTGATGGGAAGTGGATGAGAAAATATAAACAGCAAATCTCGGTCATCTATGCTCTCCAGGGAGACTTTCCCAGAGCCTGCATTCAGGAGAGCTGCTGACTTCCAGGGTGTGGTCTTAGCCCCTCTCTCTAATACTCTCTTCCCCACACTATTCCTTCTCCTCTGGGTACCAACTCCAAGTGCGAAACCACTCAACACAAAGTTCTCTCATACGGAGCAACACTCCCTTGCCCCAGTAACTTCTGGCGCTGAGCTAAAGGGTTAGGATGAGACAGTCAAAAGACAGGGGAAAGGCTAAATGAAAACAGCAACCACGCCTGCTCTAGGCAGCTACTGATCAGCCAAGGAAGGGAGGGATTCAGCAGGTAGGCATGGGAGTGGCTTAATCCATGGGGAGTTAGCACCTGATTCATGTGCCAAACCCTCACTTCTGTTATCAGGAGGTTTTTCCTTCCCTGTCCATCAGTGGGGAGCCTTAACCAAACTGGGAAATGTTCTTCCTTCCTCTTCCCAGGGGCATGTGTCTTTCAAGCCCAGCTTAGACCAACAGCGCTCATGCCCAACGTGTGCAGACTCCCTCCTCAATGGGGACTTCACTATCGTCTATGACGTGAACAGAGAGTCTCCAGGCAACGTGCAGGTATACATTCATGGCTCCGTCAGCCTTGCTAATCCATATTCATGGTGGGCAGAGTCCCGGGTCCTAAGGGGCTGCAGCTACATCCCTCTCCTCCATCTTTATCACCAGATCCTTTGCATCTCCTGGAGAGGGGATTTGGGACATTTTCCCCTCCAGTGACAAACCTCTGCTACTTGCAAGAAGAGGCATTGTTAAATGGGCATTGGCCCCCATCTCTCTCCCACCATTGCAGGTCGTCAATGGCTACTTCGTGCACTTCTTTGCACCAAAAGGCCTTCCAGTGGTGCCTAAGAACATCGTCTTTGTGATTGATGTCAGCGGCTCCATGTATGGTCGGAAAATCGAGCAGGTTTGCGCCCACCCAACCCCTCCCCGTATCTAAAGCAGCTCTGGGGTGTAGAAAGTGAGAGATTTTGTTTGTTGTTGTTTTGTTTTTTTTTGGGGGGGGTGTTGTTTTGGTTTGATTTTGTTTGTTTTGAGACAGGGTTTCTCTGGTTGTCCTGGAACTTACTCTGTAGACCAAGCTGGGAGATGCTTTTTTTTTTTTAATATTTATTTATTTATTATGTATACAATATTCTGTCTGTGTGTATGTCTGCAGGCCAGAAGAGGGCACCAGACCTCATTCCAGATGGTTGTGAGCCACCATGTGGTTGCTGGGAATTGAACTCAGGACCTTTGGAAGAGCAGGCAATGCTCTTAACCACTGAGCCATCTCTCCAGCCCAAGATGCTTTTTTTCTTAAGTGGGAAAATGCTAGTGTTTCTGGTGGAAAAGGAGGAATGAGACAGAATATAAGACTATGCCAAGCCTTTACCCGCTTTCACCAGGAGTTGGGGGCCTTAGGCAATGCTTCCTCATGAAGACAGCAGGAACAGCATAGTCAGTCTAGGCTCGGCAGTGACCTCGCTCACTCTGGTCTCAGGTCTCAGCTTTATGGCTTATTTTTCTCCTTCTCCCCCAGACCAGAGACGCCCTCCTCAAAATCCTGGATGACATGAAAAGAGATGACTATCTGAACTTCATTTTGTTCAGCGGTGATGTGACCACCTGGAAAGATACCCTAGTCCAAGCCACCCCTGCAAACCTTGAGATGGCCAGGGCATTTGTGAAGAATATCCGTGATCAAGGAAGTAAGGGTCAGGGTAGCACAGATGTGTATCCTAGCCGTTCCTTTCTCTGCACCAGCAGCCCGTGTCTGGCATGCCTCTCCCTTGGGGGTAGACCACAGGCTTGGAGACATGACATCAGGGTGACTTCTGTGCAGCCTAGGGGGACCCTTTCTTAGCATTTCTAACCATGATCCTGGAGTTCACGGGTCTCAGTGTGGTAGGGCCACAGAGAACCCTTCCTGCCCGTTTCCTATGGAGACCACCTATGCCATCTGTATCACTCTCCTTTCCCTCCTGGTGACTCCGCCTGACTGGTTGCTAAGGTGCTATATAATCATCCGTGCCTAAGAGCCTCTTAGCACCCTTTGATGCCCGTGTGAAGATCTGTGTTGTTCATCCACTTATGCCAACATTTACTGAGTGCTTCTGTGTACTGGCTGACACAGTCCTTGGTACAAGGGCATTCTCATTGGTACTGTCCCAATTTTCTTCTTCTCAACAGCCTTGTGTACTGGCACCCTAAGGACACCCCACCCAAAGGTTCTATCTTTCTGTCTATATACAGTGACCAACATTAATGATGGGCTGCTGAGGGGCATCCATATGCTGAAGGATGCCCGGGAGCGGAACCTTGTCCCAGAGAGGAGCACCTCCATCCTCATCATGTTGACAGACGGGGATGCCAATACCGGTGAGGGAGAGGGAGGTTTGAACCCAAGGTGAGTGCCTGCCTACCTTCTCAACTCTGGAGTCGGCTCACTACAAGACCTTAGACATCTTTTCCCGGGGTCCCTCAGCATCTTGTGAGCCCCTCAAAGGCAGGTACATGCCTCTCTTTGCCAAGGCACCCTACTAGATGTGCAGATCTCCCCAGACAGAGGAGGTGTTCAGGTCCCCAGAATGAACAGCGCTTTCTACAGGTGAGAGCAGACCTGAAAAGATTCAGGAGAACGTCCGGAATGCCATCGGGGGCGAGTTCCCTTTGTATAACCTGGGCTTTGGCAACAATCTGAATTATAACTTCCTGGAGACTATGGCCCTGCAGAACCATGGGCTTGCCCGGCGCATTTATGAAGACTCCGATGCCAATTTGCAGCTGCAGGTTCGCTTTACCTCACGCGCTGCTTCTCAGGCAGCTCTTCCCAGATCTTAGAGGGCGCTTTCTCTCTTGAAATCTGCCTCCTGCTGCCTCTTGTTCTAATCTCCATAACACAGAGCTGCTTCCTCTGCAAGCCTGGCAGATCAAACATAAGACATCCAGTAAACGTATACGCCTCAAAAGCAATGAACAATTTTTATGTAAATACGCTCTAATATTGCACAGGACTGTGGTTACTGAGTCTGTCATAAAAAGTATATGACCACTGATGAGGTGACTCAAACAACAGAAACACGTGTCTCCCCATCTTAGAGGCTACAAGGTCAAGGTGACAGGAGGTTGGTTCCCTCTGAGGGAGAGGTCTGTATAGGTCTCCATTCTTTTTTTAAATATTTTTTTAAAATTTTTATCTAGTGAGCAGTGGTGTTTTGCCTGTGTGTATGCCCTGTGAAGTTGTCAGTTCCCCTGAAACTGAGGTTTCAGACAGTTGTGAGCTGCCACGTGGGTGCTGAGAATTGAACCCAGGTCCTCTGGAAGAGCAGCTGGTGCTCTTAGACAGTGAGCCATCTCTCCAGCCCCTAGACTTTATTCTTGACTCATTGTGGTCCTCTTTTCCCTGGGCCTTCCCAGGCATTCCTTCATTGTGTGTTTGCATTCAGTTTCTTCTTTTAAAAAAGACACAAGGCACACTGGACGAGGGCCCAACTTCATGACATCATTGGATTATCTTTGTAAAGATTTTACTTCCAAACAAGGCTGTAGTCTGAGGATTTAGGGCAACAAGAGCGCTTTGGGGATGCAGTGCCAATTCGACCTATAACAGATCTTTCTATGCTAAAATAATCTTTAAAAATATCTGCTAGCCAAATGCGTGTCTCACTCTTCACTCTGAAGCAAGCCACCTTCCCTGCTGGTTGGCAGCACCCCCACTTGTAGGGGACCCCAGAGCTTGGCTCTCTGACACACATTACTTTCTCTGGCTAATGTTTTGTTTTTTTTTTAATCCAAAGAATTCTGTCCTTTGCTCCTGTTCTCTCCTGTCTTTAAGAGAGGGAGGACAGGGAGTGCTCCCCTAGACTCCAGGGCACAGACAGGGCCATTTAGAAGTAAATATCAATACTGGGCGGTGGTGGTACACACCTTTAATCCTAGGCAGAGGCAGGCGGATCTCTGTGAGTTTGAGGCCAGCCTGATCTACAGAGCGAGTTCCAGGCTAGCCAAGGCTGCACAGAGAAACCCTGTCTGGGGGTCGGGGGAAAAGAGATAAGAAAAAAAAAAAGAAGATCAGGGGAAAAGAGCAGCTCAGCCCATGGGGACTAAATACCGCTTGGTAGCATCTATGAAACAGACCTACCTTGGGCTTCTCCACACCTATCCTGGCGGGTCTGAAATGACTGGGTCCTGACCTGACTACCAGGGTTTCTACGAGGAGGTTGCTAACCCACTGCTGATGAACGTGGAGGTGGAATATCCTGAGAACGCCATCCTGGATCTCACCAAAAGCAATTACCCACACTTCTATGACGGCTCTGAAATCGTTGTAGCGGGGCGTCTGGTGGACAGCCACATGGACAACTTCAAAGCAGACGTGAAGGGTCATGGGGTGAGTGGGAACTGAGCCTGGGGTGTGCTGGACCCCAGGAGGGGCATCTGAGCCTGGCTCGCACAACTCCACCATCCAGCTCTCAAGTCCCTGATTGCTCCTATCCTACCTAGGCTTTGAACGACCTGACCTTCACAGAGGAGGTGGATATGAAGGAAATGGATGCCGCCGTGAAGGAGCAAGGCTACATTTTTGGGAACTACATTGAGCGGCTCTGGGCCTACCTCACTATCGAGCAGTTACTGGAGAAACGGTGAGTCGGCCGGCCATGCACCACAAAAATACATGTTTCCTTGTGTCCTACCCCTGCTCGCCATTTCAAGCAGGCAAACACTGCCAAGGTCAGAGGCTGGAGGGTCCTCTGGGGCAGGGGAGCCTCAGCTCTTGCTGTCCCCCATGAGCACTCCCCATTGATAAGGAGGCTGAACAGCAGTGAGTGGGGGAGGGGTACGTCAACGGTGAGAAGCCCCAGTACCCAGAGGGTGGAGGGGGGCAATGCAAGAGTTTCTTTAGGAAGAAGGAAGCCACGAAACTCCGGCACATTTGGCCCAGATCAAGTGCTCTGCGTGCAGTTATCATGAGTGATTACAACAGGAGCCATTCCAAGTCCCTTGCATTTTATGGGTGGAGAAACTGACTCCTAGTGAGGAAATAGTTTGCCCAAATGTTTCAGGAAACTAGCTGGGGAACCGGTATTTCTCCCCAGTGAGTTCCACTGAGCAGGACCAACAATGTGGGCAGTGGGGGGGGGGGGGGGCATTCCTGAGCTGTCCCTGGAGATTCTGGTCTGGTTGTGGAAGTGTGTGTAAAAGCAGCAGGTGTGTTCTGGGCTCACTCTGAACTGTTCCTCCTCTTAGCATGAATGCCCATGGGGAGGAGAAGGAGAACCTCACAGCCCAGGCCCTGGAGCTGTCTCTCAAGTACCACTTTGTGACCCCACTGACCTCCATGGTGGTGACCAAGCCTGAGGACAATGAGGACCAGACATCCATTGCCGACAAGCCTGGGGAAGGTGGGCACAGGGAGAGGAGGCCAGAATCTAGAACCCCGTCTCTAAGACCCTGGGCCCTAGAATCCAGCAGAGGAACTGGCTGGGCTGGGGAACCAGACCTTTAGAAGAGGAGCAGGTTTGGGAGCCTCTGAGGGGGTATGGCAAGAGTAAAGGGCAGCAGGTGTGGGGTGTGGGCCAGAGTCTCTCTGTCTCCCAAGGGAGGTAAGCCGAATGAGCACACGTCTAGGCATGACAAGGAAGGACCTTCAGCTATAGCACAGGAGGGTTCAGTTAGGCAAGAGGTGCTTCAAACCCCAAATTTATACCTGGAACAAACTACCAGGGACCTGAGTGAGATCTGTGAGAAAAAGAGGCCCTAAGAACTGGAATCTGAGGCCAAAAAATCCTCTACAAGACTCCAGACTACTCCCCAGGGGAGCTCCAAATGTGTACTGTAGACTCATGGGGAGCCTGGCACTCAGAGGCATGGGGGATCAAAGACCTCTTTTTCCACAGTCCTTGTTTCCTAGGAGTTCTTGGTTTTAGGGACACCATATGGGGACAAAGCTAGCTCTAAGTCAGGCCATGGGCCACTCTGATTGGTTACCATGGCCCCAGTCAGTGTTTATATCTAATGTATTTCTCTCCCCCCACCCCGCCCCCGTGCCTGTGCCTGCATATTAGAAGGTAAGCTTCATGGGATGGGTGGAGAGAGGGGGCAGGGAGGGAGGGAGGGAGGGAGAGAGGAAGAGAGACAGAGGGAGGAAGGGAGGGAGAGAGGAAGACAGGGAGAGAGGGAGGAGACAGACTGAAGGGAGCTTTCAGGCTGACTCCTCAGAATCTTAGGGTTTCCATTCATTTGGTTGAAGATGGCTTCCCTACTTCCCTCTCTCAAGATGGATCAGGCAATGGCAGTGTCCCATTGTTTTCAAAAATGAGATTTGTGGTACCTAGCACTTTTTGCCTGATTCCCAGCAACCCGCACAAGAGTCCTTTACAAGTCTTGCCAAGCAGTGACTCATCTGGGACCCAGAGTCCATGCTGAAGGTCTCTGGGAGCCAGGGCACTCCACATTTCTTTCACGGTAAAATTAGAACCTCATACCCTCTGGCCCACTAACACTGGGCAAGACTCAGCTCCTGCCAAGCTGCCCTCTTGCATCTCTAAGGAGCACAAATATAGTAGGACATCGTTCCCCTCAGGGAAGCCCTGTTAGAAGCAATTGCTGGCTCCTGTGTGTTAGGAGCTACCACACACAATAGGATGGGTCTCACCCATGCCGTCTGGACTGAAGAGTTCACGGGCAGGGGCAGAGGTCTACTGCATTGCTCACAGCAGGGAGGCCGATGTTGCAATAGATTTGTATTTTAGTTATTTCAGAACATGCTCATTAGCATTAAAATGGCATTCGTCCTATCAACAGCCCTGTAAAGGGATTGCCTGGGCATGTTTGCCAATGTTAAAGCCCCGGTGGATACCAGTAGGCTCCAGGGTGACAGAAAGCACTAGGCTGGGAGTGGGGAAGCCCTTGGGTACTGCTCATGTCTGCCCTTTGGTGTTTTACTAGCCACCCAAGAGACCACGTCCATGGCCTACTTGAGTGAGTAAATGCTGCAACCCGCCTTGCCCACCACCACGAGCTTGCCCTGCCCTGTTCCCTTCGGTAGTGGGTCCGAATCAACCTGTCACAGGCAGATTGACCAGGTGTCCTGGGGAAGCTGAATGATGGTGAAGGGGAAAGAGGAAATGAAATAATTGGGGGGGGGGGTGTCAAATGGGAAAGGCATAAGCCATACTATGAGTGGAGGCCCCAGATCTCTCTAGGACAGCTTGCTGTGTTCAGTCTGGTCTCACTTTGTTCCATAGCGGGCTACCAGTCTCCTTCAACCCCCTACTATTATGGTGAGTTCCTTGGCTCCTCCCTGGTCAAGGTTCAGGGTTCTGGGTGCCTTGCTCCTGCCCACAGGGCCAGTTGGCCTGGGAAGGCCTGTGGTACAGGGAAGGGCCCTTGGAGCTAGTCCACTTTCTGATGTGCCCTCAGTGGATGGGGATCCTCACTTCATCATCCAAGTCCCAGAGAAAAATGACACCATCTGCTTCAACATTGACGAGAAGCCTGGCACGGTGCTGCGCCTTATTCAGGACCCAGTCACAGGTGGGGCTGCAGGCTGGGGATCTTTCTATCAGGCTGAGTGCTCATGGACCGGGTCCTCCTCCCTCTGCCTGGTAATTATCCATCTTCCTGTGCAGAGCACTCTGCACAAAGGAGGTGGGAGCTACCAAAGAGCCAGAGTTAGTATGTGCTTAGAGTGGACGGTGGAGATGGGCTTAGAGTGGACGGTGGAGATGGCGCTTAGAGCCGACGGTGGAGATGGGCTTAGAGTAGACGGTAGAGATGGGCTTAGAGTGGACGGTGGAGATGGCGCTTAGAGCGGACAGGCAGCCTGATTCTGAGGGTGGAGCCAGCCGGTATATAGGGAGTGGCTTCTCCTCTCACAACACCCCCTGACCCAGGAAAGAGAGAAGACCCACAATGTGGCAGCATGCCTCAGACCTTCTAGAACAGGATTTGGCTCTGACGCCCTGGTGTTTTCTTGGGGCCCTGTCTCAGCCTCCGCTCAGCATGCCTTGCTGAAGGGGAAGACATCCCTACAGGCCAGCATGGACCTGGAGGACCTCCCTAGCCTCTTTTCTTGCCCCACCCCTCTGGTAGGCATCACTGTGACTGGACAGATCATTGGAGACAAGGGAAGCAACCCTAACTCCAGGACAGGGAAAACCTATTTTGGCAAACTGGGCATCACCAGTGCTTGGATGGACTTTCGGATTGAGGTGACCACAGAGAAGATCATGCTGGGCAATGGGGATGCACTGAGCACATTCAGTTGGCTAGACACAGTCACGATCACGCAGAGTGGGTGAGTTCTCTGACTGTATCTCCAAGGGCAAGTGCAGTCTGAGGAGGCGGGGAAGCGCTGGAGGGATCTAGACCAATCCCAGGACAGCCGCAGGAGTCATAAGAGAGACTGATGGCCTGGATTCAGTTCCCACAGGATGGCGACCATGGGATAGGGCACCAATCCTTGGGACCCTTGTCAGCCAAAGTTTGTACCCGGACAGTGTGCAGGGCTCAGTTTGAGGGAAGTGAGGATGAAATGAAGTGGATGAAGGCCAAGTGTAGTGCTCACACACAGTACGGCTGCTCGGGAGGCCGAAGGGCAAAGGATTCGAGTTTAAGGACGACCTTGGCAACATAGCAAGACTCCATTTCTAAAATTCTATTTCTTCTTCTTCTTCTTCTTCTTCTTCTTCTTATTATTATTATTATTATTATTATTATTATTATTATTATTTGTGTGTGTGTGTGTGTGTGTGCCACAATACATGTGGGTAAGTAAGAGAGGACAACTTTGTGGAGTCAGTTTTCTCTTTCTCCTTTTTTTTTTTTTTTTTTTTTTTTGGTTTTTCAAGACTGGGTTTCTCTGTGGCTTTGGTGCCCTGGAACTAACTCTTGTAGACCAGACTGGCCTCGAACTCACAGAGATCCCCCTGCATGCGCCACCACCGCCCGGCTCTCCTTCTCCTTTTGCATGAGTTATATGGGTCCTGGGGCTTGAATTCAGGCCATCCAATTTGCACAGAAAGCACATTTATGCAATGAGCCATTTTACCAGCCCTAGCAAGAACCCATTCCTAGACAGAAAGGCTGGTTGGGGGTGATGGCAAACATCTGTAATCCCAGTACATGGGAGGCAGAAGCAGGATGATGCCACAAGTTCCAGGTCAGCATGGGTTACATGGCGAGTTCCAGCCTAGTATATGAACTCACAACACATACAAGACCTGCATAGGTTCAAGTCAGATGGGGTCCTGCACTGAGAGGGAGAGGTGGACTCAAAGTCCCACCCCCTAACCAAGAAGCTATTTGCGATTGATACCCAGCGGCAAAGGAAGAATCAGTTTTGTCTCGCGGAGTGCCACTGGGTACATCAACCACACTCCAGGGCAGCCCCAAAGCAAAATCCATGTTTTGTTTTGTTTATGGATCCTTTGTTTTGTCATCTCTTGTTTAAGCATTTTTGTTGGTCTTTTGTTTGATTGTATTTGTTTTGATTTTGGTTTTGCGTATTTATTTGTGTGTATGCAGAAGGAAAGGAGGGAGAGAACATATTGTTGGGTGGGGATGATCTAGAAGGAGATGGGAGAGGGGAAACATGATAAAATATACTGTATGAAAAATCTTTTTTTACTTAAAATGTTTTAAAACTAAGCAGGAAAGAAGAGAGGGAAGGAAGAGAGGAGGAGGAGGGAAGGAAGGAAGAAAGGGAGGATGAAAAGGAGGGAAGGAAGAGAGGAGAAGGAGGGAAGGAAGGGAGGAGAAGGAGGGAAGGAAGGAAGAAAGGGAGGAGGAAAAGGAGGGAAGGAAGGGAGGAGGAGGAGGAAAGGAAGGGAGGAGGAGGAGGGAAGGACTAAGTAACACATTTTCCTCTTGCTGATCCTGCTATTCCCAATGCTTCTTAGCTTTTCCTGGTTTTGCAATCCCTAGAGCTTAGTGGGCAGGGCTAGTGTACTATGCCCCTGAGGCTCAGAGAGGGTATAGTCTGCCCAAGATCACACAGAGCCTGAGCTGGACCCAGGCCTCTTTCCTGCCCACAGAGGGGCTGAGGTCCACTCTGTGGAGGGCACAGATGACATATTTGCGGCAGCCTCATCCCGACTCTGAGCAGTGTTTGGGATCTATGTGCCCTCAGGTGCCCTGTGCTTGCTGAAATGCCCTTGATTGCGATGGCTAGTGTCATGGCCGCTATGTCTCACTGTCTATACCCTCCCCCTTTCTTCTAGGCTGTCTGTAACAATCAACAGGAAGAAAAATATGGTGATATCCTTTGGAGATGGGGTTAACTTTGTGATCGTCCTACACCAGGTTTGGAAGAAACATCCGGTTCACCAGGACTTCCTAGGGTTCTACGTGGTGGACAGTCACCGCATGTCAGCGCAGACACATGGGCTGCTGGGTACGCAATGCTCAGACTGCAGGCTGCTTAGTCTCTCGGAACCACCAGAGATAGAATGCACAAAGCCATGTAGTCACCCTGTACCTGCTTCACAACATGCCCACGCAGCCTTTGCATCAATCCTGAAAGGCAGCTGTCCACGTCACCATGGCAACGGGCAGAGGCTGACAGCTAATGTTTTTATTCCCAGGCCAATTCTTCCACCCCTTTGACTTTGAAGTGTTTGACACCCACCCAGGCTCTGACCCCACAAAGCCAGATGCCACAATGGTGGTGAAGAGCCATCGGTTGACTGTCACAAGGTGAGGTGGCATCTCTGACACCATCACCCCACCTAGTACCAAGGAAGGAGGGAAGAGCCCTCTTTGCATGTCACTTTGTTTAGTGGGCCCTTGATTTCTGTGGGTACCCTCATTTCTGTCTGAGATTTTGGCCTTTTTAGACTCCTCCTAATCAAGGAATAGCTCAGAGATGGCCCCCTCGAAAGAACAATCACATGATTTCATCCTTGACAATAGAACTCTCAGTTCTTGAGCTTCAAGCCAGCATGGCAGCATATGCCTATAATCTCAGCCCTTAGGAGGCTGGGCCAGGAAGACCAGGAGTCCAAGGTCCTCAGTTATATAGCAAGTCAAGACCAGTCTAGGCTACAGGAGACCCTGCCTTAAGCATTAAAAAATCAAGCAAAAAAAATAAAAATAAAATCCCCTCTTGGGGACCAGTTGCAGGGTGTAGTTCAGTAGCAGGGTGCTTACCTGGGACATGTGAGATCCTGCAAAGTCACTAAAAAAGAATCTCCAGCTCCCCCACCCTTAGGCCCTCGATGCTCAGAGTTATGTCGCTCACATTGCGCATTGCAGCGACTCATTTTTCTTCTGTTTCCAGGGGCTCCCAGAAAGATTACAGGAAGGACGCCATGGTTGGCACCAAAGTCATCTGCTGGTTTGTCCACAACAATGGGGAAGGGTTAATCGATGGTGTCCATACTGACTATATTGTCCCCAGTTTGTTCTAAGTAAACATGGTGCCTTCTGCTGAAGTACAAGACTTGAACCCTCGGGAACAAGTGCTCGATGTGTGGGAAGGATGGGGGCAATAAAGCATGTAACCAAGACAGCTGTCCGTCTCTGAGTTCACGAGCCACTACTGCAGAAGCAGGTGGCTGTTTGGAGGACAACTTCCTGGGGCTCTGGGTTGAGATAGGTGTGGGACAGAGTTGGTTGGGGTGACACCTTGGGGAATCCCAACCGATGCTGGGGCAAAGGACCTCTAAGACATCAGGGAAGGTGAAACACAGTTTAAAATCCAGGGATGTCTTAAGTCAGGAGTCATGGCTCAAGATCTTCTCTTCTCATCACCATGGCAATGGAGGAAGGGTCTCTGTGGGCTCACGGTTTGAGAGGGTACAGTCCATCATGGTGGGACAGGCATGATATTGGAATTACCTTGGTCATGGGTGGTAGGAGCTGGCAGTGTGGCTTCCTCAGATTTCAGAGTCAGAAGCAAAGCCAAGAGCAGGAAGCAGGTCTGTCTGGATTGCCTCCTAGTGACTGCTTCCTCCAGCTAAGCCCCACCCCTTAAAGGTTCTACGACCTTCTCAAATAGTGCTGCTGTCTGGTGGACTGAGCGATCAAACACAGGAGTCTCTGGAGGGCATTTGCTATGTACACAGGAACAAGAGGGAACATTCATTTTGGCTTACAGCTTCAGATGACAACGTGTGACTGCCTGGCTCTGACACTGGGGTAGTATGGTTGGAGTGTGTATCAGCAAACATCTGTTTACCTTATGGTGGCTCAAAGGGAAAACAAGAAAGCCAGGCATGGGGGCACTAGCCTGTAAGCTCAGGGACTGGGAGTTAGAGGCAAGAGAACTGAGGTCATCCTACGCTATATAGAAAGTTCTCAGCCTCTTTATCATTTGTATATAGGAGGGCTACTGATGTTTTTGAGTTGATCTTGAATCCTGCCACATTACCAAAGATGTTTATCAGCTGTAGGAGTTCCTATGTCGAATTTTTGGGATGACATGAGCATACTGTATCATTTTGAAACAGTGAAAGTTTGACTTCTTCCTTTCCAATTTGTATCTCCTTTTGTTGCCTTATTGCTCTAGCTAGAACTTTGAGTACTATGTTGAATAGATATGGAGAGAGTGGACAGCCTTGTCTTGTTCCTGATTTTAGTGGAATCACTTTGAGTTTTTCTCCACTTAATTTGATGTTGGCTTGCTGTATATTGCTTTTATTATGTTTAGATACATTCCTTGCATCCCTGCTCTCTCCAAGACCTTTATCATGAAAAGGTGTTGAATTTTTTGAATGCTTTTTTATCATCTAATGAAAAGATCATTTCTTTCTTTCAGTTTATTTTTATGGTGGATTACACTGATAGATTTTCATATGTTGAATCATCCCTGCATCTCTGGGATGAAGCCAACTTGATCATGGTGGATGATGTTTTCTTGATGGTTCTTGGATTTGGTTTGCCAGTATTTTGTTGAATATTTTTGTATCAATGCTCATGAGGGAGATTGGTCTGCAATTCTCTTTCTTGGTTGAGTCTTTGTATGGTTTCGGAATCAGGGTCGCTGTAGCCTCATACAGAGTTTAGAATGTTCATTTGGATTCTATTGTGTGGAACAATTTGAGGAATATAGATATTAGCTCTTCTTTGAAGTTCTGGTAGTGTTCTGTGCTGAAACCACTGGGCCCTGGCTTGGGAGGCTTTTGATGACAGCTTCTATTTCCTTACAGGTTATTGGTCTATTTAAATACTTCACCTGGGCTTGATTTAACTTTGGTATGCAGCACTTGTCCAGAAAATTGTGTATTTCTTTTACATTTTCCAATTTTGTGGAGTACAGGTTTTTGTAGTAAGACCAATGATTCTCTGGATTTCCTCAGTGTCTGTTGCTATGTCCCCCTTTTCATTTCTGATTTTGTTAATTTGGATGTTCTCTTTCTGCCTTTTGACTAATTTGGATAAGGGTTTGTCTATCTTGTTGGTTTTCTCAGAGAACCAGCTCTTTGTTTCATTGATTCTTTGTATTGTTTTCTTTGTTTCTATTATATTGATTTCAGTCCTCAATTTGATTATTTCCTGTCATCTACTCCTCCTGGGCAAGTCTGCTTCTTTTTGTTCTAGAGCTTTCAGGTGGACTGTTAAGTTGCTAGTGTGAGATTTCTTTCCCTTTTCTTATGTGGGCACTTAGGGTTATGAACTTTCCTCTTAGCACTGCTTTCATGGTGTTCCATAGGTTTGGATATGTTGTACATTTATTTTCATTGAATTCTAGAAAATCTTTAATTTCTTAATTTTTTCCTTGACCCAGGAGTGATTCAGTTGAGCACTGTTCAATTTCTGTGAGTTTGTAGGCTTCCTTCATTTAGTGTTGTTGTTGAATTCTAACTTTAATCCATGGTGGTCTGATAAGATACAGGGGGTTATTCCAATTTTTTTGTATCTGTTGAGGTTTGCTTAGTTACCAAGTATATGGTCAATTTTAAAGAAGGTTCCACGAGGTGCTGAGAAGAAGGTATATTCTTTTGTGTTTGGGTGAAATGTTCTATAGATGTCTATTAAGTCCATTTGAGTCATGACATCTGTTAGTTCCCTTATTTCTCTGTTAAGTTTCTGTCTGGTTGACCTGTTCATTGGGGAGAGTGGGTTGTTGAAGTCTCCTACTATTAGTATGTGGGGTTTGAGGTGGGATTTAAGCTTTAGTAATTTTCTTTTACATATGTGGATGTCCTTGTGTTTAGGGCATACATGTTCAAAATTGAGATTTCCTCTTGATGAATTTTTCTGTGATGAGTATAAAGTGTCCTTCTTTGTCCCTTTTGATTGGTTTTAGTCTGAAGTCTATTTTGTTAGATATTAGGATAGCTACACCGGCTTGCTTCTTGGGTTCATTTGATTGGAAAATCTTTTCCCAACCCTTTACTCTGAGGTAATGTCTGTCTTTGAGGTTGAGGTGTGTTTCTTGTATGCAGCAGCAGGATGGATCCTATTTTCATATCTATTCTGTTTGCCTGTGTCTTTTTACAGGTGAATTGAGTCCATTGATATTAAGCGATATTAATGACTAGCGATTGTTAATTCCTGTTATTTTCCGGTTGTAGCGTGTGTGTGTGTGGTGTGTGTGTGTGTGTGTGTGCTTCCCTTCTTTGGGGTTTGCTGGTGCGGGGTTATTTACAGCCCCCAGGATTGCAACACTGAGTCATCCTCCACGATGGGTGGGTTTTCCAGTGATGCAGTGGTCTTGGAGTAACTCATGGTTTTGTATGTAACCCCTCATCCATGCTTCAGTAAGTTCTCAATAAATACATTGGTTTACAAACTACACGAGAGTCGGTGGCCATGCCAGAGGAGCACGGTCAGCAATGGAGTCTGTGGAGTTCAAGTCACTGAATAGCAAAGCTAAACCCTGCGGAGGCAAAGCCTGGGAGGATTGGCGGCAGAATGTCCCCGGCTTCTGCTGTGCTTCCTCCTGCTTGCTGCTGCATGTTACTCCTCTATTTCGCATGGTGTGATTACTGTGTGAAAGGATCCCACTGTATCTAGTATAGTGTGATGTTTCTTGGGAAAACCCCACGCCTCACCGGGCAACTTACTTGCAGGCCATAATGAAGATCATTTTTATAAGAGCAATGCTAATTAGTTAGATCTATGATTCATTTGGGCTCTCTGAGTTAACCTAAAAGATACAGGGGGTTAGGACAGTTGGTAAAGATAATTAGGGAAATAGTTTAGGTTATTCTGCCAATTGCTCCAATAAGAGATACAAAAAAAGGCAAAAATAGGCTAAAAGTCACCTTTCCCTTTGTTAGACATGAGAATTGCAGAGGATGGAAAATAAGAACAAGGAAGTTCCATGCATTGTGTGGAAAACAGGCTGAAAGTCAATGAAAGCAGTGATGTCCCTAGCCCCAAGGCTAGACCTGAGCTCCTTGGTCATCTAACGTACAGAATTAATCACGGGCCCCAGTATGCATCCTAAAAAAACAACCTTGTACGAGGGAATTAAATGACCCAATTGTGTATAAAGAAAAATAGATGGCAAATTGACCGCTCACCCAAAGTTCCTCTAAAGCCTAAAAATCTGCTACCCCAGCACCACAAACAGCGCCTGCCAGTCCAAAAGGAACTGGCTTAGTTGATTTAAAACTATTCATCAGAAATAAAAGAATCATTGCTTCAGGGTGAAGAGGTTATAGTGGGAAAAGTAATATAAAAAATGTTTAACTACTTGTGGGCTTCTAAGGAAAACATGTTGTGACTTGTGATCTTCATGTGATTTCTCCTCATGTAAAGATTCCAATCTGTTTGGGGGAATATGTAACTGTGGTTATGAGGTAGTCTTTTCTTGCATAAAAATCTGTTTTAGGTGAAATAAAAGGGGAAAATGTATAACAAAAGGACATCCAGCAGAGAGAGAAATCAAATGAAGAATTAAGTTTCAACCCTCAGAAAAGTGTGTGTGTGTGTGTGTGTGTGTGTGTGTGTGTGTGTGTGTGTACCCATGCTCCACCAACACCACACCTCCCTCCCAGTTTCTCTGAGCTTCTGGAAGCTGGTTGGCCAGCAACAGACTAGGGTGGAGTCCTTGCTTTAATTGGTCATTGGTGCCCTCTTTGGGATGAAAAGACACTCCTCATTCCCATCTCAAGACAAAAACGTCACAAAACTGTGTGACCCAGGTGAGTCTTTGTGACTCTAAGCTGGTTCTCATGGCCCAGGCAATTGCACAGTAGGTCTCCAACCTGCTCTTTCTGGAGAACCTTCTTCAGCTCTGGGTGCCGCACTGACATTTTGAATGTCTGGTTTTATATTCTTCTGACAAAGACCAAGATAGGGCTGAAAACCTTCTACGGGTTTCCCTGGGCCCTGGCTGCTGAGGGCCAGCTATGGAAGCCTCTAATGTTCTGTGGGGCAGAATCTTCAGGTTGGGACCTTGTGTCCCCCAGCTGTGGAAGCCTCTAATGTTCTGTGGGGCAGAACCTTCAGGTTGGGACCCTGTGTCCTCCAAGGTGAGCCTCATGGAGTCATAACACCAGCTCCCTGGGTTCATATCACCTTCTTTATTTGTAAGTGAGAATCCTCCTCCCCAT